TCTAATGCAAAGGTTATTGGATCTGATGGATCCGTAAGGACGTGTCTAGGGCGTCGACGGTGACTGGCTCCTGCATGATCAGGATTCGGGGAGTAGTCAGCGGCGGCAACGATAAGGCGATTATCATGACGCATAGCCTTATCGAAGTATCGTTCCGACGCTGACTTCATGTATTTCCGAATTGATTCGAGGCCCAGGTCGTCGTGTAGGTCAACGTTCCTCACGAACCACGGAGCCCCGACAGCTAACCTGCAAAAGCGGGATTGTAGGGATTGGAGGGTGTCTATGTGTGTGCGGGCCGCGTGAGCGAACACCACACTCGCGTAAGTCATGACGGGCCTTATGCAAGTTTTGTAAAGTGTCACCTTGTTCCGAAGGGACATTTTACTCCGCTTACAGATCATGGGGTAGAGTCTACCGAGAATAAACGCGGCACGGTCACGGACTGATTTTATATGCGGGCGGAATGTCATCGATGCATCCAGGGTATCCAACGCCCAGGTACTTGACCTTCCTGGCCCAGGGTATGGATTGACTAAAGAGAGTAATCGGGGGTGTGAGATTCCTCCTCCTAATACGGGAGGAAATCCGTGTGGAGTACAAATAATCTTGCATGAACAATTAGGTGTAAAAAAGTTGTTTTCCCGATGGATACCGCATTCGCTCTCTGAAGAGCGAAAAGCGGCTCGCGTTACTTGGTGCGTCAGAACTCTCGAAATATTCCACGCAGGATCCTCAAATGCTATATACAACATTGTATCAGGTGACGAATCCTGGATATACGCGTACGAACCCGAAACAAAAAACCAGTCACGAGTTTGGGTGTTCGAAAATGAGTTAAAGCCAACAAAAATTGTTCGTTCACGGAGTGTTGCAAAAAAAATTGTGGCCACGTTTGTCTCCAAAACCGGCCACGTTACGACTATTCCTCTTGAGGGACAAAGAACGGTTAATGCAGAATGGTATGCTAGCATTTGTTTGCCACAGGTCCGTAAAGAGAACTGCAACCGCCGCATCATCCTCCATCACGACAATGCGAGTTCTCACACCGCGCACAGAACAAAAGAGTTTTTAGAGCAAGAAAACATAGAATTATTAGACCATCCGCCGTACAGCCCCGACCTAATCCCTAATGATTTCTATACTTTCCCTAAAATAAAGAATAAATTGCGTGGACAGAGATTTTCATCACCTGAAGAAGCTGTGGACGCCTACAAAACGGCTATTTTGGAGACCCCAACTTCCGAATGGAATGGTTGCTTCAATGATTGGTTCCATCGTATGGAAAAATGTGTCAAATTTCGCGGGGAATACTTCGAAAAGCAATAAATACATTTTTAAATAGTAATGTTGTCACTTCGTTAATTCCCGAAATTTTCAGTGCCGCCCTCGTAATTAATAGCAAAATCCCATTTTTTTCGCATTGATTGTCGAGAAAGACGATCAAAAGATAAACTGGATAATGGACAGAAACGTTATTTAAATATATACGAGAACACCTTGGTCATATTAGCTGGTGGTAGGATGTAGGTACTTTTCTCACACAGAAAGGTACAAACGTCATGCCTATTTCTATTGCCAAAGCCATGCATCCCGGTTTAAACGGTGGTTCAGTCGTCATATAATTATGATTTTGATCTCATGTTTTAAGAATAGGCGGTGGCATTTATGTGAGGTTTATTGTTTCTCGTAATTAGTGAAAAAACAGGTGTATAAACAATTTGCAACTAGTATAAACCACGACTATCTAGGCCCAAACTATGGGAACCCGATATACTTATTTATATAAGTTTAAAGAAATACACATATCGATATTGAACATAGACATAAATACTTGTACATCACACGTATTTTTTTATTGCTTATATGAGTGGACGATCTCACATCCCACCTGATGTTAAGTTACTGGAGTCCATAGACATCTACAACGTAAATGCACCACCCACCTCGAGATATAAGTTCTAAGGTCTCAGTATAGTTACAACGGCTGCCCCGCCCTTCAAACCGAAACGCATTACTGCTTCACGGCAGAAATAGCTGGGGTGGTGGTACCTACCCGTGCGGACTCGTAAGAGGTCCTACCACCAGTAGGTATGTTTGTCTGATTTGGGAAACAAATCCACGATCCTTGAAACAGCAGTCTAGAGGCGCAAACTACGGTGCCACCGATCAGTATATTTATAATTTTAACAATGGACTAAAAATCATATATTTACCGCACCAACTTGATCCATTCTCTTTCGCGTCTGTTAAAAAAGAAAGGCATTATCATTTTAAAATATTTCATGAACGAATTCTCAGCGTTTATGAAATCAACATGACTGTCTTTCAAATGTCTTTGAATACTGAAAATTTCTGCGTATTGTCGTATTAATGAGTCCGGTGCATGGACTTTTGCAAAAATTAAGTCTCTATGTCGTTTCATCTGAAATTAAAATAAACGTCTTATTAGTTATATATTTTATGATCGATGTTTAAATTTTTTTGCAAATTACTCAATTGATTAACGGTAAGCAATAGATTTGGGTTTTACCGTTCCATGCTCCATCTCTATTTCGAGACCAAGCTTCAAAGCGTTCAGGAGAAAAGTATTAGTGATGCCCTCAATTTGCGAATTTCCATCATCGCGTAATACCAAAACTAAATCTATACGCCTGACGCCGTCCGCAAAATATCCAGTAAAAACTTTGGGCTGAAAATAATCAATCTCAATAATTAATGCTAAAAATAAAAATCACTCTCTTTCGGGTCTGCTGCACGTTCAGCTTTTGAACCGGACTAGCGCAGGGTCGTACAGCGCGCTCCGAGCTTAATTTTACAACAATTTACATATTTTAAGGGATTATAGGGATGTTTTCCTAGATGACAAAATAAAAACATACTTTAGGTATAGTTGTAATAAGGTCTCTTTATATCAGGTATAAGGTCTATAAATGTTTATTATTATTATTATTATTATTTTACTTTTTTATTAATTCATTTGACGACGCGTTTACAAAAGATATTCGGTTGGATATCGTATATTGGAATCCTTTTTATCAATGTGTATGTACCGCCGATTAGATCCGCAAATAAAGAAATCTTTAGCCGTGAATGTAGGAATTGGGTCGCATTTTTTTAAACCGAGAGTAGGTAGTGAAAACGCGAATGAAGAAAGCCGGATTAGAGTTTTACTATAAAATATGTGAATCGCTGCACTGCTGTTTCTCATGGGATAGTACGAAGCTGAGTCACAATGTGGCTCAAAATATATTTATTTTTAATTAAGTAGTGTTATATATTGTAACCTAGTTTTTAAGTTGTATTAAATCCAATGAGTCCTGCTTACTTGAATAAATAAAAAAGAAAAACAAAGATTTTTTTTTTATTAGCTTTGAAAGAAGCAATTTCTGTAACTTAGTCGATTCCATTTTTTATTGCGTACATAATACAGTCAGCCTTCGTGGTGTAAAGTGGTTACTAGAGTAGTAGTTACCATTGAAAACAAAACGCATTACTACTTTACGACAGAAATAGTCAGGATGGTGGCGTCTACATATGCGGGCTTACGATACGCCCTACTACCAGTAAATGCCGCAGGTGGGGATCGCAGTACCTACACTAGTATAATATTTAGATATAGCTGTCTGTTATTCTCTGGTAAATCTCTCAGCCGCCTTTTATCGGGGAAAGAAGAGGTGGTGCTATTTAAGCCGTCATCACACACCCAAATCTATGTTGCCTATGAATAGTCAATAGAAAATATCTTGTCTTCTTCAGAGCTTTAAATATTTGTCTGGACCTTCATTTCACAATACATAGATACCGAAAATTTGCCTTTGTATTTAATGGGCATCCACTTCTATTTACCTCTGAGACTTTTGATGCCTTTTTCAGATAGCAACGCAACGGCAATCCTAAGGGCCTGTGCACATCACGTTTTTTAATTTTTATCCCACATAATGGTTTCTTGTCGTTTGTATTGATACAAACGTGATGCTAACCTCTGTATCGATTCAAACGTGTATTTGAATTTATACAGGTGTGCAAAGGTCTACAGGCTGCGTCTGACTTGCGTGCGTATCGCGTCTGTATCGCTACGAACGCACGTCGACGGCGCGTTTAAAAAACGTGGTGTGTACAGGCCCTAAGGATTACAATCTGCGCATTTTCGTTGGGAACTGACTATGCGTCCCAATATGAGAGGCGGGAAAGTCATTATTTCAAATTTTGACTTCGATCTCGTGTTTCAAGTCCGAACATGGTACATATTAAAATTATCGTATTGACGGGCTCAGGCTTACGGCAATAAAAAATAACTAAAAACCTCTCTAAATATAATAATTTGCTGTTAATTACCTTGTTTTCCATTTACGATAATTAAAATTTATTTACAATCAATGAGCAGATTGTCATCGATGAAAACAATGACAGCAATACAAAATAATAATTGACAGAAAAACATAGACCTGCAGAAAAACCAGTGGCCGTCTTAATATGAAGGTTATTATACGGCGAATTTGCGCAGACATTTGTTTTTGTTGCATTGACGGGTGAATGATTTCACGATCCAGCTGGTCTAAGTGCTTACCGGAACCCTTGCAGATCATCACGTGAATACCACAACCTACCACGAGACATGAGATCTAAATATATTTTTTTCTTCGATTGGTGGACGAACTCACAGGTCACCTGGTGTTAAGTGGTTTCTGGAGCCCATAGATATCTACAACACATATGCGCCACCCACCTTGAGATATAAGTTATAAGGTCTCAGTATAGTTACAACGGCTGCCCCGCCCTTCAAGTCGAAACGCAATTACTGTTTCGTGGCAGGAATAGGCAGGGTGGTGGTACCTACCTGTGCGGACTCACAAGCGGTCCTACCACAAGTAATTACGCAAATTATAGTTTTGCGGATTTGATTTTTATTACACGGTATTATTAATTCACCGTAGAAGTCAATCGTGAAAATTCGTTAATTATGTATTACTACGTATTAAATCTCAATTGTTTTATTTAGTATAACAGTTGTACAGCCTTCAAAACGATACGCATTTTTGAGATTTTCTTGCAGAAATAAGCAGGGCAGTGGTACCAACCCATCCTCACTCACAAGACGACGCACCCTCAGTATTGTTGACGTATCCTATGATGTACAAGCGAAGTAAATTGTCCCTTCGTAATGAGGTGACACTCTACAAAACTTGCATACGCCCCGCCATGGCCTATGCAAGTGTAGCGTGTCGCTCACGCGGCCCGCACTAACTTGAAACCCCTTCAAGTCATTCAATCCCGTTTTTGCAGGATATCCGTAGGAGCACCATGGTTCTTAAGGAATGTCAGTAAGTATTTACAGTCGGCATCATTGCGCCACTTTGAGGAGGCGGCATAACATGAAAACCCTCTTGTCGTGGCCACCGAAAATTACATACCCGATCCTGTGTACCGAATGGTAAACAGTGGCCGTCGCCCTAAAGACGTAATTACAGATCCTCCCGATCCATTAACGGTGCTTTTAGGTACCTCAAGCACCGGTCACCGTCCTCGCCGAACCCGTCGCTTGCCACGAAGAGCTCGACAAGTAAATTAAACCATAGACACAGCCTACTGAGTTTCTCGCTGGATCTTCTCAGTGGGTCACGTTTCCAATCCAGTGGTTGATTCTGCGAAGCACTGCTCTTGCTAGGGCCAGTGTTAGCAACATTCCTGGTTTGAACCCTGTGAACTTACCTACATGTCAAGGCTATCAGCATAGGTACAAAAAAAAAACGAGTGTGTTATTCTATTCTCAACAAAAATAATAAAAACAAATAGTTGACATTTTTGTAAATAATAAGCCTCTCAATCTCTCATCTTACAGTATAGTAAAATCTATCATAAAGTAGGACCAACCCAGACAAAAAATGATTAATTATTTTCATAAGTCAACAAAGTACATACACATTAACAGGCAGAACTAGTCAAATATAACATACTCATTGCCTACATAATTTTAAAGTTATAATTTACTCTCAATTTGTTTAAATTGCTTTTATTTACTAATATGAAATCTAGAACTCTCAGTATTGAAGTATGTCAGCGTTCTTTTATGTGTTTAATTTAACCATTTTCAGAATTATTGTCACATTTCTGTTTATTTTCATGATATTGTAAACTACTTTAACAACAGTTATTTAGGTTTTGCTGTTTGGCTTGGTTTTGGTACAGCTCATGTGTGCCAGATTAAAACATTAGAAACAAAAGGAAGTCAGTCTCAAAAATACATTACAATTAAAAAAAAACCTAATTTAACTTCAAATTAATTTTTAATTCCTTTCATCAGATTTTGAATTTGAATTTACTTTGTTCTAAACTGAATTTTGGTTAATTAAAAAAGTAATTTGGGTTAATGGATTAAATAAATAAAACAGAGCAAATTCAGTTTCCTGTTTATTGTAAAGATGACTTAATAGTATATTTTAACGGTTGGATTTAGCAACACGCTCCAGCTCGTCCTTCTTTTTGATGGCATAGGAGTTAGATGAACCCTTAGCTGCATTAATTAATTCATCTGCAACACACTCTGCGATTGTTTTAATATTTCTGAATGCAGCCTCACGTGCACCTGTGCACAAAAGCCAGATTGCTTGGTTGACTCGGCGCAAGGGTGAAACATCAACGGCTTGACGACGAACTGTACCCGCACGACCGATCCTAGTCGAATCTTCACGGGGTCCAGAGTTGATAATGGCAGTCACGAGTACTTGCAGAGGGTTTTCTCCAGTTAACAAGTGAATAATTTCAAACGCATGTTTGACAATACGTACGGCCATCAGTTTTTTGCCATTGTTCCGACCGTGCATCATTAGAGAGTTTGTAAGGCGCTCCACGATTGGGCACTGGGCTTTACGGAAACGCTTGTGTGCATACCTGCCAGCTGAATGAGGTAAATATTTTGCGTACTTCTCTTTAACGGAAATGTAGTCCTGCAGAGACATATCAGAGACTTGCACATCGTAGCAACTCCATCTGCCGAAAAGCTTGATTTCAGGAATGTCGGCGGCTTGTGGTAAAGACATGGTTTCCACAACCACGCTGCCTGCCTCGGCTACGTCGTCATTCCAGTTCTCCTCGGCCATGATTGGTACCTAAAAATGTTATTGTATTTATTCACAGTCACTTGACAGAATTTATAGTACCAAGTTGTTATACTTTTAAATTAAACTCACTTTTCTATTACTAAATAGAAATTATAACCTCGCACTGTCAAAAGTACACGCGAAAAAGGAAGTACGAACGACCAATTTTATTCTCATGTTGGCGGGCCAGAATAATGTTGCCAAAAAAATAATTCACCTTTAAATAAAGACAGAAATTCGGAATTTCTTGATCCAAACCTTTTCAAATAAGTTAGAATAATATAATGAATAGGTAAGTCATCACAGCACACAACCAAAATTAAACTGAACAAATCGTGCGTCGTCTGTAGGTTTATGCATCTATCTAAAGTACCACATACTTATTTATTTCAAGGTACTGATCTCTCTTGACTTGCGGCGATATGCTGGGAGAGATTGGATGCGGAAGGCGGAGGATCGTTCATTGTGGCGGACTATGGAAGAGGCCTACATCCAGCAGTGGAGAGATACAGGCTGATGATGATGATGATCTCTCTTGTAACATTCCATACTTTTAGCAACAAATAAACCAGCCCGTGCTTTCTGAGTTCAACATTATGTCTTCAGATCCAAATAGGCCCAGACACTAGATAATCTTAGTGTAGTAAACAATTATATGAATATAATTTTAAATTGTGATAGTAATTCACTTACAGAAAAGAACCCTCCTTATGTGCCTTTTAGATTTTACATTTATTTGATAAGCTTAAACATTTAGTCCTAATAATTTTATAGTAAAAAAGATATTTATCCATATCGAATCTTATTCGGAATCGAAATTTAACTTAACAATAAATGTAAAGATTTGTTTTGTATTGTTTTGAGAAACAAAGGAAAGAAACCTATTTACTTTCTTAAATTAATAAAAAGAAGATGACTATTTACGAAATATGTAGTTTTAAATTAATAATTATGACATGTTAATTTTAATTATGACAATTATGTCCTTAGCCTATACATTAATTTAAATTGCTTTTTTTTTCCTACCTAAGCTGGTAGCCTGGAGCGGCTATTCCAGCGTAACCGTAACTAGTAGGTGAGCTCACGGGGCTCAAACCTGACGACGATGCTAACACGAACTCTAGCAAGAGTCGTGCTTCGCAGAATCTACCACCGGATCGGAAACGCGACCCACTGAGAAGATCCGGCGAGAAACTCAGTGGGCTGTGTCTGAGAGTTAATTTACTCGTCAAGCCCTTCGTCGCAAGCGACGGGTTCGACGAGAACGGTGACCTTTTAAGTCGCAGTAAGCTCGCTCGATGCTTAAAATGACAACTATTTACTTTTATTCCTATTTACAGAGGAAGTGCTTTTTTCCTTCATAATTAATATATTTAAATTAGCTTTTTAAATCTTTCCACTTGCTATTATGGCGCCATCTTAGTTCGCTCCCTTTCACCGGATATTTTTTAATAACAGGTTGCCGAAAAAGTTTCCTCGCATTTTTTAAGAAAATTCACAACATTTTTTTAATATAGTTTATTTACAATTAACTAAAGTATGTAGGTACCATTTTGTTCGATAACTTTTTGCCTTCTTGTAGGTAGGGACATGATCCTATTGCTATAGAAATTTTGAAGCTTCTGATCAAAATACCGCGACAATTGGTTTTGGCAGTCCTCTCGTGATGATAACCCGAGACTGCCTAAAGAGACCGAAACAGGTGGAAATCTGAAGATGCAAGGTCAGGACTATACGGTGGATGCATTAAAACCTCCCAGCCAAGCTCTCTTAATTTTTGCTGAGTGGCTAAAGATGTGTGAGGTCTAGTGTTATCAAAGTTTTTTTACTTTATATGAGGCGTCCTCGTTTTTTACGAGCCTATATATAGTGAAAACCAATATTTTATGAAGACTATATGGTTTTATAATTTGTCCAAATTTACCAAAACGCTGCCTGCGGTATCGCCTTTTTTTCTGAGCTGATTTTTATTTAATCCTTTGACAACATTATTTCATACCACTTCACGTCGTGTTGGCCTAAAGGTCTAGATACCAGGCCATAAATTCCAAATAAATAAAAAAACTTCATGTCGAAAAAAATACCGCCGGATAGAGTAAAATCTGCTTCATTATAAAATTTTATTGTATGTATTTAATGGTAGGCAGCGGGTTGGCTCTGCCCCGGCATTGCTGACGTCCATGAGCGATGGTAACCACTTACTATCAGGAGGGCCGTAACTCGTCTGTCTGCAAAGGTATAACAAAATTAAAAAATAATTATATCCCTTTGCCTGTTCAATAGACGAATCAAACAAAAAAACATAACTTGTTTTACGTGGTGAAGTAAAATAACTCGTCTCGTAGAGGTTATGAAATAGACTTATTTAAGATAAAAGTACATAATATTAAAGTTCGTTAACGCGAGTGATTTTTCAATTTATCCAATAAAATTTAGTGGAATTTTCCCTGCGCTCCGCAGATTGCAGTTTTTGCAATGAAAATTGTCTAAATTTAGTTCAGTAAGGTGAGTTTTAGTCTTTTAAACTGTGACCAAAGTTCAAATTATATTTTCCTAGCTTGTAATATATTTGCACCGACCATTAGATTCAATAATCAATTAAATTGCGAACCACATCTTTTACAGACTGCCTGTTTCGTGGTTAAGATTCAGTTAAAATTAAATTATGGCCGCTTTTAAGAATTTAAAAAGTTTTAAACTCATAAACCTTGCTTCGTCCACATATTGTCCACGAGTAATTTCAACAAGACACCTAAATCTTCAAGAGCATCATAGCAAAGATCTTCTGAGAAAATATCAGGTTTCCATTCAGGACTTCAGAATTATTGATTCCAAACTAGATACGAATGCCTTATCTGGTTTTAAAGCTGATGAATATGTAGTCAAGGCTCAGATACTTGCTGGAGGACGAGGAAAAGGTCACTTTGACAATGGGTTTAAAGGGGGAGTTCATCTTACAAAAAACCGGGACAAGATTGTTGACTTAGCTAAAAATATGATAGGAAACAAACTTATTACTAAACAAACTCCCAAAGAAGGTATTTTAGTAAATAAAGTTATGGTCGCAGAAAGTGTGAATATCAAAAGAGAGACATACTTTAGTATTGTAATGGAGAGAAGTTTTAATGGTGCAGCCATTGTAGCTTCTCCAGCTGGAGGTATGGATATAGAGGCAGTGGCTGAAAAAACCCCACATTTAGTGAAAACAGTTCCAGTAGATATTTTTGAAGGGATTAGTGACAAAGTTGCAAATGAAATAGCTGACTTTTTAGAATTCAAAGGACCACTAAAAAGCAAATGTGCTGAAGAAGTAAAAAAGCTATGGCAGTTGTTTTTGAAGGTATAATTGAATAACAAAAAACAGAAGTTTTAAAGTTAGATAACATTAATCTGTTAATTTTATTGATATATCTAAACAGGCAATGAACTAGCCGCACTGGACATCAATTGGAGAGGTCTATGTTCAGCACTGGACAGATGATAATGATGATGATGATGATCTAAACATATTTTCATATTGATTTGCCTTTAGGATCCTTTTAAAATATCTTAGACACTAATGTATAAAAAGAATACATAGTTATTTTTAAAAATCTATTTAAGGTGGATGCTACACAGCTTGAAATTAACCCTCTGGTTGAAACAGATGATGGACGTGTCATTTCAGTTGATGCCAAGATTAATTTTGATGACAATGCTAAGTTTAGACAAAAGGAGATCTTTGCACTTGATGATGTTTCCGAGACTGACCCACGTGAGGTAAGTACAAAATATTGGCTGTAAATTATTTCAATTCATTTATAAAATACCAATATATGGCAACAGATATGCAGTCTGATGCAGGGTAACTTATTATTTAAGAATTATAAACATTATTCAAATAACATAAAAAACATGCCACTGCATACATGTTTTTTGATGTGGTCAACTGTTACTTTTTGTTTTTTTTTATTATATTGTTTTTTTTTTAAATAATGTCTTGGGTATCATAAAATAACATCAGTACCCAAGATAGGATAAAGTGAAAAAACAGTGTGTACTTGACATTATCAGTTTATTTTACATAACTCAGTTTATCTTAGTTCTGATAAATACGTCATTTGTCTTTGTTTTAAATGCAACTATGGCTATCTTTATATAATTTTTGGTTATCTGAATGTTGTGAACTTATTTATTGAACTCATTTTTTTACTGTTTTTGTTTGTGCTAGAACTATTTTTATGAAAATGGTAGATGTCACTCAACATTTACATCATAATTTTGTGTAAAAAAGCCGAATGCAATTTTCTTTAATCATCAATCTTTTAATGATCAAAACATTACACAAATTTACAAAGAAAGTAGAAATAGGTAATGGTTGAGTGTTATTTGAAAAACTCTCGCCTTCAACAATATTAGGTCTCAGTAGGGTTTTATAAAAAAGAATTTTGATGTTTAGTGACAGAATCTTGAAACAGAAATATTTAAGCAGGCCGAAGTAGCATGATGATATAATATAGTATATAACTAACAAGTACAGTTTCATTAATATTGAAACACATCATTAGGTTTTATAATTTCAATTGCAATTTTTGTGTATGTTTTAGATGGCTTGGTATTCTACGGAGGTCACTACTGGCCATCACTAAGTAGTATCACCAACTGACTCATTACAGTCATAAGTGGACCTTAGTCTGATCCAGTAAATCTCTCCAGCCCAATTTATTTGTGGCTTATTCTCAAACATCACTCCTAAGGCAATATGTTTAGATAAATTTTATTTGTTTTCGGACTTATAGAGAGAAGCAAATTCCCTCAATTTGGTGTACATTGAAATGGATGGAAGTATTGGCTGCATGGTTAATGGTGCAGGACTTGCCATGGCCACTATGGATATCATCACGCTGAATGGTGGCAAACCTGCCAACTTCCTAGACCTTGGAGGTGGGGTTGGACAATCACAAGTTTCTGCAGCTTTGAAGATTTTAGAGTCTGATCCCAAAGTGAAGACGATTTTCGTCAATGTTTTTGGAGGTAACTACAACTACTTAAGTCAATAATAATATTGTTGATAACAATAACTACAACTACTTCAGTCTTTGCCATATAATGTAGAAATTTATGACAAATTGTAACTATGTACACTATTATAAATTGACTAAATAACGCATTTCATGATACTCCATGTTTTTTAAGGGTTTTTTTTTATAATTTCTTATAATATTACATTACAATAGTCATCAATAATTTAAATATTGTTATGAATGACATTTTTCTTTTTGTATTATTTATTCATTGTCTGTCCACCATAAAGCCAATGATTGTCTCATCAGCATTGATCTACTGCTATACGTTTGACCTGCGATCGAAGTGGTCACACTGCTTATTTTTTATAGGACCAGTCTAGTTTGGACTTTTAGCTTTGCCAAAATGCGATTCTCCTCAGGTTCAGTTTTTATATAATTAACAATTTTTCAGGTATTGTTAACTGTGCAACCATTGCAAATGGTATAGTTTCAGCATGCAGAGAGAATCCACCAAAACACCCCCTAGTCATTAGACTTGAAGGAACCAACTCTGGTGAAGCACGGAAAATCCTTGAGCAATCTGGTTTACCAGTTAAAATAATAAATGATGCCGACGAAGCTGCTAAAGCTGCTGTGAAGTTAGCACAGTGACAGTACTGTCATTGCTACCTTAGTAGATTTGATTTACTTAAGATTATCAGATACAACTTACCAAAGGGATTTTCCTCAAGACTTTCTACAATTACCATGGGGTATTTTAATGAAGTAATGACATTTAAGCCCAAGATCGTTGACTAATATACTAACCTTTTTCTAAGACTGAATTGTGTATCCTAACACTTTGGTCATAACAAATTTTTTTGGAAATCAAATGTCTTGCCATTGCTTTTGTAATTGTTAATAGTTTTCTTTCTACCCATCCTGGTAAACCTTGAGGGATTATACCAGCTTTATCAAGCGAGGTGAGCTCACGGGGCTCCAACCTGACGTGTTAATAGAATAAGTGTTCTGTATATATACTATGAATAAACTTAAAATATCTATGAAATTTTAGATTTTATTTATCATCCCTATAAATTAAAACATGTAATAGGACATACACGTTTTTATTTTTAACAAGCATACTAGGTAATTACTTTTAGTGAAAATAACCGATTCTACAAGTTTTGGATGAATTAGGCGCGGAAAAGATTGAGCCTTCGTCCTTGCGGTGGAGCATCCCTTTTGTTCAGAGACATATTTGATTGTATTTCATCGAATGTGGGAAGATGTGCAAGTTTTCCGCGACCGGCTACCGCGGGTCTGCCGCTCAGCATTCGTTGTGCGACTCTGACAATGTCGTCAGCTGTGATTTTGTCTAGAAACAAGTATTTAAATTTATGCATTGCGTTATTAAAATTGAGGACCGTATAGATTACTGCTGTGTACAACAGTGAAGTAGGATATTTTTCTATGTATGGATGCATGCGATAATCGCTAGAACAGGCATTATCAAGGAGGCCACAAACACCAGGGTCCCGGGCGCCATTAAGCAGGCCGAATGCAGGCAACATTGGAGGAAGCTGGTGCAAAAACTGGACCAAGGTGGTCACGACCCTCAGTAATGAGGAAACAACAAAGAAGAGAGAGAACAGGCAGTCCCCGTAGTCGAATAAATATCTACGCTTTTCAAACAAAATAAATATTATCATCAATCAAAACTAACACAATATTGTACAGGAACTAAGCACCCACTTTGCTTAATTTAAAAATATGTAAGTAATAAAATATCCAAGTTACCAATTTCATTGATGAAAAATGAGGGAGGTTTCCTTTTTCCAGTAGCCAAAACTTGTCTTCCAACATCTTCGAATACAACCGGTCGGGCCTCTAAGTTCATGAGTAACATCGACTGAAGTTGTGTTTTGGCTCTCTGAAATCAAATCACATAAATTGATTTCATATGCAACATGTAGATTTTTTAATACGCTTTTATTAGCTTCAGACGTATGTATGTTAGTATGTAATGGAATCTTTGAACATGATTTTGAACCCCTTCAAAAAGCTGGATTAACTCGAAATTTGGTATACTTATGGACCGACACATGACAATTCAATATTAAAAAAAAAATTGAATAAATCGAAATTCAACTAAAAAATGAAAAATAAATAATAGTTTAAAAAAATTCAAAAAATACTCTAATAGAAAATCCCACTAAAAATAGAAAATAAATCTTAATAAATTTGAATTAAAAATAGTGTAAGAAAAAATGATTTTATTTAAAAAAAAAAGCGTGGGGTGCTTTTCGGGATATTATCAAAATAATCCTTTTACTCATATCTGTTGATATATTTTTAATTCAAATTTATTAAGATTTTTTTTCTATTTTTTAGTGGGATTTTATATAAAAACGTGTTTTTTTAGAGTTTTTAAACTATTATTTATTTTAAAGGAAATTGAAAAGTATTTGTTCAGTTTGTTATTACTCTACATGTATTGTTACTTACTCTGAGTTCAATTTCGCCAACTTTACCGGCCATGTTTGCTAGTTCCCGCGCTATCACGAGCGTGGTGTCATATATGCGATTAGGAGGCGAAGCGGCATGTACACAAAACAAGCCTGTATCGCCGTAGGCGTGGTTGTAGGCTGTCGCGTTGAACATCCAGTGGTATCTAGAATTTTAGATGATTTTTAAACATAAATCTTAAATAAAATTTAGAATAATAGACCAATACAATACATATTTATAAATATGTGTAACTAGCAGACCCGGCAGACTTCGTAGTGCCTCAATCGATAAATAAAAGACCTAAACTTTTGTATAAAATAAACTTAAAACAAACAAAAGGAATCTGTCCGAGGGGGGGGGGGTCACATCAAAGGAAAAACAAAATTGTTATTTTTATTTAATTCCGAGCATTTTCATACTTATCTACCTTTTAAACCTTCTTCTAAACTTCCACAAATAATTCAAGACCAAAATTAGCCAAATCGGTCCAGCCGTTCTCGAGTTTTAGCGAGACTAACAAATAGCAATTCATTTTTATATATATAGATTACTCGCGATGGAATTAACGTAAGCCAAAAAAAACAAAGTTTCAGCCTATTTCGGTCGTCATGCAGTCATACATTCCGGGTGAAATGTTGGGACTAATAAAACTATGACTTCAGCCTTAGTCTCAAGGTTCATGTTCTTATATCTATGGGCTCCAATAAACATTTAAGGGGGCTTGTATCGCGAAGTTGTTCGGCTTGCAAAATTAAATTAATAAGGAACGTGAACATAAACCTTTTTGTATCTTCGGTATATGAATATGACTGTAATAATGATATTGTTCTAAAAATATTCACCTATTCAAGACATTCGTGTAGAGTCGTGTGTACATTCCTTTACCAGGTCCACCAGCCGAGAATGATCCACCACCACCCATCATCATATTCAAAACGCATGTTGCAACGAAATCTGGGTCACCATGAGAACAACCTGGAAATATTCGTTTTTCAAATGAACGCTAATTTTTTTTCTGCGCTCGACACAATAGGTCTGCCTATGTAAATGTGACCACAAATATTTGTTGGTAGCTGTTAAAGATGATATCAAAGGTAGAGTGAAACAGAGTTAACGCGTCACAGCGCTCGTCAGACAAGGATGGGGATTGCGAGATGTTGTTGTTGTTGTAGTCTTTAAGAGTACCCCGCTGGCACATAGGGCCCTCACAAGTTGTCTCCACTTGACCCAGGTGTTCTCCGGCCAAGCGGTTGCCATTGAAACGCGAATGATGCTGCGTTGACTCCGCTGCGCCGTAGTGTGTCCTATCCAACGACATTTCCGATAGGCAATGTCTTGCAAGACGTACCTACGAGTTTTAAAGCTTTTTATTGCGCATGCGCCTAAGAATAAATGCTTTTTATGTTATTTTAGGTTTTCTATGTTATTTTGAATACGGTTAAACAAAAATTTATGAATTATAGTATGTTTTTTTTGGAGTATTTATTTATTCGTTTAAAAGTTGGTTTGCACCGTTGATAGTACACACTGGCATTAGGCGGATAAATTTGCTGTATTTTAAATGTTTAACACATACTCAATATACATGTTTATATGTCGTGATTGAATACTATATTGTTTGTTTATTAATTGTTTAATAACTTACTTTCTAATCCAATTACAATGTGTGATAGTTCTGGTAAATCAGATCCTGGGTACAAAGGTATTTCGCACTCTTCCTGCGAAATTACAAAATTGTTAATTAAAGACCAGCTATTCAATAGATTGTCATATTTTTCTCATTGATCGAGATGGTACAAATGTGTGCCTGCTTTAGAGTATGTATGCGAGTTTTATTATAACAACAGCGGACACGACTTGAGCGGGGAGAGAAGTATACAAAATCAGTCCATACTTTTTGTTGAATTCCACAGTGATCCCCAGGTTAGAGCCCCGTGAGCTCACCTACTCGCTCGGTGAATCTAGTATGACCCATCGAGGAGATTAGAATAGGTAACAAAAAAAATATCTCTATGCTTCAAGCTTTCCTTAGTTTGCCGCTAGGGGCGCTGTTCTAACTCCAGCGTTTTTTTCTTTCGTACACATTAAATAAGACCGTCGCGATAACAGTTTATATTTTATAGATTAAATAAAATTCTATAGCGACAGGGGGTACGTTCACCTGTGCCCATAGATGTGCATGGGCGGCGTTAACCACATACCATAGGTTGGGCCTACAGAACATTTGCTTTATGCAAATAACATAATAGTGTATCGCGTTTATCTGACTTGCGTCAGATGTCAACAAATATTGTTTATATTGTTACCTACCTGCTCAATTCCACCGGTGTATTGCGAAATAGATTTGTCAACTTTTGGAACGAACGATTCGTCTCCGTCTGTATACCAAGTAGGTTTGATATCAACAAAATATTTCTGTACGTATTCGACAAAGGGCTCGTGATCCACCTGCGAAATTAAAAATATAATGTATAGAATCACACTGTGTCATTGTAATAGAAATGAATTAAATGCAATTGGAGTTTTACGACTCTTCTGCATTTTCGTTTTAGACCGCAAACGACTGACTGATGTTAGGTGCCTCGACTTGCAATTTTTACTGCATCAATATATTAAAAAATCTTTATTCGCGGGGTAGGTACATGCTCCGTAAATATGCCGCGAATACAACAACCGTGTTTATGGAATGGTAATTTACATAGTTTATGGGATTATAACGTTCCTAGGCGATATCATTTAGCAACACACCTTAAGCATAGTTGTAATAAGATCTATTTCACTTTTTTATTAGTCCATTTGACGACGCGCTTACAAAGGATATTCGGTTGGATACCTACATATTGGAATCATTTTTATCAATGTGTATGTACCGCGAATAAAAATTTCTTTAGCCGCAAATATGGGAATTTGATCGCATTTTTTTAAATCCGCGAAATGTGGTAATGCGAATAATGAGTTCTTACTGCATATGCACATTATTCTGACAAGTTCAGCTTTGGATCGCAGTTTGTGGAATTTTGCGAGATAATCTCATAATCTCTTTTTTACATCATGCCACGTGTCAGTTGTGGACTACTGATGTCCACGAGCGACGAATTAAAATTATGTAGACTGCATTCTCCACTACAAAACAGTCAAAAAGTTGTCGGTGTATGCGTAATGTGACCATACGTCTCGCTTTGGGCGGTATTGTCCCGCTTTCAGGCTGTACGTCCTGCTGTCCCCAACGAGAACAAAAATGTCCCGCTTTCATTTATTGTTACTTATCCCAAATCCATATTGTATTACAAAATACATACTAAAGTAACTCTAATTTTGCTTTAGAAAAGCAGTTTTTTGTTGCGAAATTATTTATAAATATTATTTTAAGGCCAAATTGGTGTAAGAATTAAGATGTCAGTGAGGTTAAGATACCATAATAAATTTTTTCAAGTCATTTTTAAACCGTATTTTTTATTTTGCACTTAAATAGTACATCTTACCCCGACGTACTCTATATATGTATTTATTTATATACGAAATTCCGTAGGTGTCCCGCTTTGACACGAAAAAAAAAAG